TGTATATATATTTGAGCTATCCAAAATATGTATGAAGAGGTATTGACTAGTGCATGGACGATGGGTGGAGAGATGGATGATTTTCCCATTACAATAGCTTTGCACCATGGTTCCTAACCCTTACCTTTTTAATTTAATTTTGGATGTACTTACAAAGGACATCCAAGAGCTAACACTGAGATGCATGCTTTTTGCGGATGATATAGTCTTACTTGGAGAGTAGAAGGAGGATTTAAATGAGAGGTTAGAGACTTGGAGACAAGCTTTAGAATTGTATGGATTTCGCCTAACCAAAAGTAAGACAAAATATATGGAATGTAAGTTCAGCAAAAGAAGAAGCGTTTCTAACCTAGAGGTGAAAGTTAGAGACAACATCATCCCACAAGTCACAAGGTTTAAATATCTTGCGTTCGTAATACAAAATGATGGAGAAATATAAGGAGATGTAAACCATAGAATTTCAGTTGGGTGTGTTGCACCCCAAAATTCACTACAAGAAAATTAGAGTTTTACGATACAAAAATTGTGACAGTTACTTGATAACTATCGTAACTCTAATATAGAGACGCGTTTCACGACAGTATACACCTACCGTCCTTATATTTTTAAAAGATTATTAAATATTACGACTGTTATCACTAAGTCGTCCTACAAATAAGTTCATGACTGTCTCAAGTGCCGCCCTAAATTTTATGTCCCGACGGTAGAACAACTGTCGCCCCTTAAACCCAGTAACACAAACTATAACCAATGGCGGATCTAAATAAGTCTATGTATTTTAAATAAATAAATGACTAAAATCATTTATAAAATATAATTATAGTAATAAATTAAACTTAAAATACATAAAAATGAAAATATTATATATACTCAAAATAAAACTTTAATTTTAAAAACAATTTTTATAGTAAAAATTAAATTCAAAATATTATATCCAAAATTAAAATATTAAAATAAAACTATATATCAAAATTTTAGAAATAATTTTTATAATAAAAATTAAATATAAAATTAAATTATATATACTCATAATCATAATAGTATAAAATATCAAATAAACAAGATAATTCAATCAAAATAGAGAAATAAAAAAATTTATTAAAATAAAACTGACTAGGAAGCTACCGTCTCAAAATTTTTAAAATTTCATCTGCGACGGTGATATCCCGTCGTCCTCCAAAATTTCATCTTCCCGCAAAAACTGAGAATTCTTTTCACGTATTTTTCACTTCTTTTTAAGAATTTGCCGCTCACGTCCTTGGAGAAAGAGGAAAACTGACATTTTTCTCAACCGTGAAGCTGTCATTGCGAATCACTGTCAAAGCAACCACCATCAATTCGAATCTTTACAGGTTTGTCTTCTCAAACCCTGAATCGGATCCTGGTTTGGATTTTACCCTGAATTTTGTATTTCATTGGTTTAGATTTTAAGCATTATGTGTTAGATTTCTCTGTTTGAGAGTTAAATTTGTGTAAGAAAAATGGATTATTTATCTGTGTGGACGTGTCGGATCGAGTTTCTTGATGCTGAAGGGTTGCGGTAGCAAATTCTGGTATAGGACCTTTATTTGAAATCTTGTGTGCTGTTAATTCAATGGTTTTGTCCTGAGTTGATGTCAGGCTCGATTTTGTTTTCGGTGATCATGTCTAGCTGCGACGGTTGCTTTCTCTATTGTGCTTATTGTTTGATTGAGTCCTTTGCTTGTTTAGGAGTTTAAACTATATTTTTGATACATTGTTTATAATTCAGAACAGGCTTCATAATATACTTACAATTTAAATCGAAATATCGGGTTGTGTTATTTTAGACTAGATCCTCTATAGAATTTTTTTGAGAAAGATATAATTGTTCATAGTAGCCAAATTAGTGTTGAGATAGAAAAATGGTAAAGTGAGAATCACTGAAATCAACTACATCACAGTGTTGAAATAACGCCTTCCTTGGTTATCCCAAACTCCCTGTATATTTTTCATCCTGGAACATTAAGTAGTAAGCTCCACAAAACAAAACACTGCCAATTCTAAGCATTAAGTAGTAAGCTCCATAATGGCAGCAACAATGTCTCCATTGGCAACTTTGAGAGCTTTAACAGCTCTTGATCTTGGCACAATAGCTTGAGTCACCACCAACTCGATATCCTTGGGATCAACATCAGTCTCACCTACATCTTCCTCTTCCGGAAAAATACCAGAGGATTCTGGCTTCACTCCAACATTTCTCAAATTAGGAGCTTTGAATTGTTCAGATGCCTGAGTTGGTAGCTATGAACTCAAGTCCTCAATCTTAGCTTCACCAAAAATAATGTAGGTGTTGGAAGTTGGGCTTTTGGGCATTTGCAGTATCAATCTTAGCTTCGATAAATGTTATTTGCCGATTATTGGCAGTATCATACACCTTCACTCCTGCATCATTCGCCAAAGCAACAAGATTTGCTCTTCACTCCAGAGCATGTATTGAACCTTCACCAGAGTGCAAAACCTTTTTTGGATGAGCGGACAAGATAGGAGAAGTGTCACCGTTAAGTTCAAACTGTTTCGAGTACCTAATATCTGTGTTTTGTGAGAGAATATGAATTTGGCAATAGCTTCAGAGATAGCCAGCATTTCCCTGAAGTAAGCAGTCTTCTAATTTTTAGGCACTAATTTTTTTGAAAAATACGCAATAGGGTGGCCATCTTGCTGTAGTACTGCACCGACTCCAATACTCAATGCGCCAGTTTCCAATTCAAAAGGTTTCTGAAAATTTGGTAAATCCAACACTGGTGCAGAAGTGGTCGCTAACTTTAATTTCTGAAAAGCAGTATCTGCTTGCTGATTCCAAACATAACCTTCAAGTTCCATCTTTCTTTTTCACTAAAATAATTGGTGATGAGAATGGACTAATGCTGGGTTGAATGATCCCTTACTGCAGCATTTCCTGAACCATGTTCTATTTTTTTTTGTTATTTCTATTCTCTTTTATGACTGTGTTATCTTTTTTACTTTCTCTATCCACAATCTTCTTCAAGCTGGTAAAGGTTATGGTCATTTTGAATGATTTTACACAATCCTAAAATCATTCATTAATTACAATTCTCAACAACTTTTTGTTCTTAACAATCTTGTAATAAGTTATGACAGTTGCAATTAAGTATTTTGCGAGATTTTATGAAACTTGCAGCAATAAACTTTCAAGTTTCAGCTCAAGACAACTTCACTGTGCACATTGCCATCCTCCATCCTTATCCAAGGTCGTATAGAAAAGGGTTTGTCAGTGATCTCTAAAATTCGAGCTCCTCTAGGCCAATCACCATATCTTCCATAGCCAGTGTGCCTAGCATAGCATAGCCATAGTTTCTTGTATGGGCAACACCAATCCAATCCATGGTTGTGTCCAACAAATATTGCCTGCCATGCCATTATCAAAGGGAAACAAACACCTTAATTGATAAACCCATCCTGTTGACAGTTTCTCATCTTGTCACAAAATATAAAAATAAAAAAGCCACAAATTTAAATAATGATTAAACAAAGGGAACTAACACAAGGCTTTGGCCTTACCTTGACAGAGGTTCTTTTCACAAGAAGATCCATGATCCCCATTTCAGCTTCTTGAGCTGCAACTTTTTCCTTGTTGATCGAACCAACACAAGGCTTTCGAATGCCAAACTTTGGAGCCACAGTCTTATAGGCCTTACTTGGTATATGCCAGAAAATAATCTCAGGAACCCGACCATACAAAACATATTGTTACCAAGATAACAAAATAAGAAAGAAACTTCTATCACCTATTTTCAACATATTTTACTTCACAAACTTAAATAACAAACAAGGATTAGAAATCAACAAAGTTACTCTCATCTATAACAAATAAAATGTTTCGAAGATATTGATTGGATAAGTTTATTTCCAGAGTAAGGTTTTATTTTTATGTAATGCTTTCTTAGTCAACCTAGAGTCATAGTTAATTTCTTTAGATTTCTGCAGAAACCATTCTGCCTGGCCAGTAGATATGACTTCTGGATAAGAACCACCACCAGAATCTAGGAAGTATAGGAAAGCCACCGGTGATTGCAGATTATCTGACACCGAAACCTGAACGACATAATTTGATACACTCAGCCAAAGGTTTCTTGGACCATATCTAGAAAATGATGCATTGTGTTTGATCTCATTTTTCATCAACTCCAATCTTCCTGTTCCTCTAAAGCTACACACTCGAGATGTGTATGACCGACTTAGATAGAGAAAAAGCCTCTGTTTTCTTCAAAGAACAAATAGGTTAAGCTGCCGAGATGACCATCAACTCTGGCATTAGGAAAATTCTTCCAAATTCTGAAATTTGTGACTTTGATTTTGAACCTTGTGGTTATTCAATGAATTTTGTTGAGGGGCCTACTGTATCTGCAATTCATATTCCCCCAGAAGATGGTTTCAGTTATGCAAGCTTTGAGACTGCAGGATACGATTTGAAGGCAATAAATCTGAATGGAATGGTTTGAAACAAGCTATCACCAATTCATATTACCCCAGAAGATGGTTTCCTGGTTGAAGAAAATAAGCTGGTACAACTACACATAACAAATATTCAATAAAATCAAAAATAAAAGCACTTCTAAATGAAGATACATACAAAATGAGAGGGAGACACAAGAGAAGCTTAACCTGTTCTACAAAATCGCACCTAACTCGCGTCGATTCAGTTCATCACTTGGAAGTCGATCCCCTAAGTGAAATGCTATTACCCGTTGAGAATCCAAAACCAGTTCTAGAAACGTTTCAAAACCATCTCACTGCAGGAACATTGAAGGTTCTGTCACCGATTTTCTCAGATAAGAAAAACTCAATCACCAACAACAGCAATAGCAATAGCAATGAAAAATGTGTAGAATGTGGCACAGTGTTTTATAGTGAGTCTTTGGAAAAACATGATGACAAGTCTCATCATAAGCATCGCAATCTGTCTATTAGTGAAGGCGCACAAGAAGATAAGCTCATGAACGCGAAAATAATTACAATTGATGCTTCACCGCTTCTTTTCAAGGGTGCTAGCTTGTTTCAAACCAACTAAGTTTTCTGTAGCTGTTCATGTGGACAATGCAAGCAAGTCATTTGAGCAGGGGTGTTTGCTGGATGTTAAGGGATACTACTGTGGAGAGAAGAGCCACCAAGCGCTTGGAATGGGTGGATTTGTTGTCTACCAAAACTTTCTCAAGACTTCGGACTGTGGCTCGCCTAGATCAACACTCAAGTGCTGGAAAGATGAAGATGAAGAAGAGTAGCTTTTGTGTCTTTATGTTTGTCTCTTTTAAATAAAATAAGTGTTGCCTTGATGGCTTAAACACATCGTTTTCGTTTATTTGTTGTTCATGTTTCTAGAAGGTTTATAATCTTCATTGTTGTTTTCTTTTATTTACTATGTGTAGAAGGTATTATTAGCCTTCATTGTTATTTTCGTCATGGTTTCCAAATACACTTGCCCAAGGTATACCCTTATTTCTTGCCGGCGAAGTTGCTTGATCCCAATACAAACTTGCATTTGCAATCATAATATTGTTAGCCGTAATGACATCTCCAAGATATATCACAAAATTTGCCATACAATTAGTCTAACATCATTATGTTAAATATCACACCACATGAAACCAATAGACATCATGTTCAACTCAATAACTCTTTGATGCATGGGGTTGCATTTGATTCCAAACCACTTGCAGAAATGGATGGAAGAATTCCAAGATTCAAGAGTTGTGTATGGATCATTGGTTATCGATGCTTTGAATTTAAGCAATGCCAAATGATCTGTTTGGCCTTCTAATGTCACTGATACGATTTTGTTAGGACCAAATCATATTAAAGTTAAGGTAAAGAGAAAAAATAGATGAAGGTATATAAGTGTAGGTGACGAGAGAGAACCAAAGAGAAAGACTAAGAAATTATAAGGCTTAGAAGTCAGTGGTTTTGCTATGGATGTGATTTATAATAGAATATCATGATGTCATTTGATCCTTGTTAATTACCATATGTGATCATAGTAACCAGGCAGGAAATATATTTAGGAGATACTTTTTCTTTCCTTTTTGCAACATTGCCAACAATCCTATAGGAAGATAATTGAATCTGGAAATGTTTCAATCCCCGTCCATTTTGAAAAAATATATATTTTCTGCCTAAGTATTAACTAGAACGCCATCAACAATCAATTAAAAAATGGAAACACCAATGGGCTCATAATATGAGTGAGTAAATTCCTTTATCACCAATACTATAATAGAACAAAGCTAATACTTTACTTCATCATAGATTAAGAGAAGTGGATAAATTTTACATACCAAAGAGCACCACATGCTGTAATCACACTTGAAAGGTTTTCTTCACTACTTACATTGATATCCTGTTTAAAACTAAATGTATGTCTTGGGTTCATTTTGGTTAGTTTGTGATTATGAGGCTAGAGTGTAACTTTTGTCTTTTAATGGCATCTGATTCTATTGCTGTAAATATTTGTATTTAGAGTGTTTGCTTTTTTTTTTTATAGGATTTGCTTTGAACTTTACTGTTGTATTTATCTATGTCTATTTTTTGAAGAAATGGATAAGTCATGGATTACTAAGCCACAATCATCGATTGCATATCAGAAAGGGATAAAAGAATTTATTGATTTTGCATTTAAAGGTGCAAAAGAAAATGACGTAGTAATATGCCCTTGCAAACACTGCGGTTTCAAAAAATCAAAGAGTAGGAGTGACATGTTCGACCACTTAATGTGGTCACCATTTCCGCAGGGATACATCATGTGGATTCATCATGGAGAGTCCTTTGTTGTACCTAGTACTATCTCCCCTAGTACTACTCAAAATATGGTTGAAGATACTATCATTTTCGAAGATCCTATTCATAACATGATCAATGATGCATTTGGAGTTGATATGAATCATGCTAATGAAATACCATCTGTGTCAAATTTAGAGATTGGCCAAGAAGATTATGTGATTCTAAGTGCAACTCAGGAAAGAAACGAAGCCAAGGAGTATTATGAATTGACTAGAGAAGGAGAACAACCTTTGTATGAAGGATGTAGACGATATTCAAGACTATCTTTTTTGGTTAAGTTGTACCATATAAAGTGTTTATGTGGATTGAGTGAGAAGGCAATGACAATGATTTTAGAGTTAATTAAAGATGCATTTGAATATGCAAACATTCTAGGTTCGTTCCATGAAGCCAGGAAATCAATCATAAAACTTGGTTTGAATTATGTAAAGATACCTGCATGTCCAAACGGTTGTATGCTTTATTGGGGAGAAGATGAAGAAAGGGAGACTTGCAAAAATTGCAACACTTCAAAATGGAAAACAAATGAAGCGATCTTTGTTAACAAGAAAAAGAAAAAAATTCTTGCCAAGGTTCTTCGTTATTTTCCATTAAAACCTCGATTACAGAGATTATTTTTTTCATCAAAGACGGCCGAGGATATGAGATGGCACGCAACAGATGCTAACAACGATGGAATGTTGAGGCATCCTAGAGATTCAGAAGCTTGGAAGAAATTTGACTTGACACATACTTGGTTTTCATCAGATCCGCGAAATATGCGTCTTGCATTGGCTAGTGATGGTTTTAATCCTTTTGGTGTGATGAGTATAAACAATAGTATTTGGCCAGTTGTTCTCATTCCATATAACACTCCTCCATGGGTTTGCATGAAACATACATCATTTATAATGTCAATGATAATTCCCGAAAAAGAAGCACCAAGAAATAATATTGATGTCTACTTACAACCCTTAGTCAAAGAGCTGAAAGAGTTATGGACAAATGGTGTGGATACATACAATTCTTTAAAGAAAGAGATGTTCAAGTTGCATGCAAATTTGATGTGGACGATTAGTAACTTTCCAGGTATGGGCGCACTTTCTGGGTGGAACACATACACAAGGCTTGCTTGCCCATCGTGTAACTTTCAAACTACACCTCTTCGTCTTAAAGCTAGCCGTAAATGGTGTTTTATGGCTCATCGTCGTTTCCTTGATCGGAGACACAGGTTTAGATTGAACAGGATCCGCTTTAATGGTGAACAAGAAATACGGAGTCCACCGAGAACATTATCTGGACATGAATTTTTTGAACAGGTTAAAGATATTGAAGTCATCTTTGGTAAAAAGCCAATGAAAGAAAAATCGCTAAAAAGAACATTTGAGGGACAACCTATAGAAGGTGATACTACATAGTGTGATCCTACACTAGGTCATCCTCAACAATGGAGAAAAAAGAGCATATTTTTTGAACTTCCGTATTGGAAGGATAATCTTTTGCGCCTTAATCTTGATCCAATGCATATTGAGAAAAATGTGTGTGATAATGTCCTATTTACTTTACTAAATGATAGGCAAAAGAGTAAAGACAATTCTAAAGCTAGAGATGACCTTCAAAACATGGGTATAAGACCTGATCTTAGGCCTGATGAAAATGGTAGAATTTCTCTGGCAGCCTTTAGTTTAATGGGTAAAGATAAAAGGAATTTTTTAACAACTTTAAGGAATATTAGGGTGCCTGATGGTTATTCGAGCAACATTTCTAGATGCATTGACTTAGTAAATCTCGAGGTGAATGTAATGATGAAGAGTCATGATTGTCATATATTAATGGAACAACTCCTACCATTAGCCATTCGCAACACATTACCTCATGAGATTTCAGCAATTTTGATTGAGTTGTGCTCATTCTTTAAACAATTATGTGCCAAGGTATTGAAAATTGAAGAATTGGAAAAATTGCAAAACCAAATTGTCCTTACTTTGTGCCACATGGAAATGTTATTTCCTCCCTCGTTCTTCACGGTTATGGTTCACTTGGTTGTTCACCTTATTGAAGAAGTTAAATTTGGAGGTCCTGTTCATTATCGATGGATGTATCATGTTGAAAGGTAAACTATGTGATTTTATTTTATTGTTACTAAATTAGAAAGTAGAAAGATTTTTTTAACCGATAGTATTGTGGTTCAATAATAGATACTTGGGAAAACATAAATCGCATGTACGTAATAAGGAAAAACCAGAAGGGTCTATTGCAGAAGGATACCGTTTTGAAGAGATTCTTACATTTTGTTCAAGATATCTAGAAAATATTGAAACTAGATGGAATCAACCTGGACGTGTAGATGATGACCCTATTGGTGATATCCAAATAGGATCACGTGTAGCCGAATTATTTCCTATATTTGGAAAACTCGTGGGTGGATCTTCTTATTACACCCTAACACCAATTGAAAAGTTGCAGGCTCATAGACACATTTTAACGAATTGTCCAATAGTTGACGACTATCTAAAGTAAGTAGTTTTATGCCATTTAAGTAGTTTCATTTGCACTATTAATACTTTTTTACATCTAATATCAAATAACCAAATAGGCAGTTCCGAAGTATTACTCATAATCAAATGAAGCACAATCAAAGAAGTGCTGCTGAGATAGGTAAGAAGGTTCATAGAGAATTTGCTCACTGGTTCTGCAATCGTGTGAGTTTTTGTACAAAAATAGATGTTTTAATTGAATTGGATTTTAATAATAACATGACTAATTGGATGTTGTATCGTGTATAGATTTGCAACAATCTTGACAACATTCATGGACCAGATAAAGATGTTCTCATTAGCCTTGCTTATGGCCCTTTTGATAAAGTTAAAAGATTTACTGCGTTCAATGTCAATGGATTCAAATTTCGAACATTGGAATGAGATAATCTTTTAAAAACTCAAAATAGTGGCGTTTTTGGCTTGTTTGGGACGCGAAGTTATTCAAGCAATAGTGATACCCAAATGAGATTTGGAGGGGTCCCTTACTATGGAAGATTGGTAGACATTATTGTGCTTTCCTACGATGGCTTCACAATGCCCATGTTTAAATGTGAATGGGCTAATACCACAAACCCAAGAGGCATTAAGATAGATAAGTTGGGTTTTACTTCTATAAACTTTACAAAACTACTACATTCTAGGGAACATGAAGATAATGAGCCGTACATTCAAGCGTCAGAAGCTCAGATGGTTTTTTATATGGATGATGAGAATGAACAAGGGTGGAGCATACTTGTTCATTTGAAGCCAAGAGAGTTGTATGACATGGGTGGAAATGATGAAATTATGTCACCCATTGAGCCATATCGATCACAAAATTTGGAACAAATTTTTTCGAATGATGATATTGGAACTTCATCAGCGAATGATAACAATAATTAACATATAGTTTTTTATTGATAAGAAATTATGTTTGTTGGTATAATCAATATTATTGTGTGAGACTTATGGTTTTTGTTTTTTATCCCTAGTTAATGTATGAGATGACATTATTACTTTATGTTTTTTGTTGTTTATCCATAATTAATGTGTGAGATAACATTACTACTATATATTTTATTGCATAAATTATCCTTTTAATTTATTGCGTTTGCGTTATATTTATTAAATTTATAGTCAATAATATAAAATTTTGATGTTTACTATTATTAGTGTACTGTCTTTTTAATACATATACTTGCAGTTGAAGTCTTTTGTGAGACAATGATTTCATCATATGAGGAAATTCGCCTCAAAATAATTGCATAGAATAAGAAAAAGCTAGAGGCTCTCAATCTTCCAAAGCTCTCTCAATCCCTTCACAAAACATCTTCGTCTTCTTCCAAACCATCACCGGTTAGTAATAAATTCTCAATACTAGTCTATAAAAATTAATTGTATTAATTGTTGATTGATATTCACTGATGTATTTTATTTAGTCTGTGAAGGGTCGTTCGAGGTTTGTACAACCTGGAGAGCTTGAAGTAAACAAGAAGCGCCTACGTTCAGCTACAATGTGCAAATCATCAATAATCCCTCCGTCAATCAAAACTACAATAACTCTTCCGCCAATCCAAACTAAAATTGCCCCTCTGCCAATTGAAACTACAATAACCCATTTGCCAATCCAAACTACAAAAGATATTGTGGTAGAAGATGAGGATGAAGATGTTGTGGTAGGAGATGAGACCGAAGATGATGTGGTAGGAGATGAGGCTGAAGATGTTGTGGTAGGAGATGAGGCTGAAGATGTTGTAAAAGTGGCTAAATCTGTGTATTGGGATGTAAATGTCATTAGTAAGTAATTTAAGGTTAAAGTATTTGTAAATAATTTAATTTTTTTTACATAGTTGAGTTATGACATTAATTTGTTTACTTGTTTATGTGATAGATGAGGAAGGTTATGTTTCAAACACACGTTTATGTGTGAAAGACTTGGTTGCAAAATCAAAGTTTGATGGAACATGGATAATACTTGAATTTGATAAGGATCATTGTGCAATAGGACCAGCTTCTGGTTTGTTAGCAGGGTATTTGGGTATAATTATTAGAATGTTTAAATACTTTCCCATAATATTCGAGAGTTGGAAGGATATTCCAGCAGATACAAAAACAAAATTTTATGATTCAAAGATAAAGGTATCATTAATAAACAATTACATATTTTTTTAAATTAATTTCAAGGTGATTATTATTTGCTTTGTTAACTATTTTTTTTTTATGGTTAGCTCCACTTTCTTGTTGATGATGGGCGTGACAAAGAATTCATACTTGCTTCTGCTGCAAAGAAATGGAAGAATGGTCGACATCAATTGTTTCGCCAATTTTATAGATGAGATCTCACTTTGGAGGAAAATCTTCAAAATTATCCAATATGCAGAGGCATTCTGGAAAATGATTGGGCTGTTTTTGTTCAATATAGGCGGAAAGAAAAAACACAGGTAATATTAGTGCTTTTATTTGTTAGATTTATCTGGTTTGTATGTTATCCCTATCTATAACGCATGTTTTTAATTGTTAACTATGTAGAGAATAGCTCAAAAAAATGCCCAAAATAGAGCAAAATTGAAGACTCCACATACACTCGGATCTAAGTCGTTTGCAAGGAAGAAACATGAGTTGGTATGTCTAAATTTATATAGAGTTTAATGTATTACTGATGGTAAAAATAATTAATATATTTTCTTATTTGTAGGAATCGAGAGATGGACGAACATACAGTAGAGGAGAAATGTATGCAGTTTCTCATAAAAAGTCTGACGGGTCTTTTGTCAGTGAAGATGCATACAATAATAATGTAAGTACAAGTTAATTCTTTTTAAATATTTGTTAGTCTCCTTAAGGTATGAGAAAAAATCAAACATTTTGGCATCTCTTAAAGGTGGGGAGAACGTGTCTGAAAACTGATTAAATTAGATTGAGAATTGTGATTATTTGAGTTAATTAATTAGTCTTGTAACAATAGATTGTGCTCTTTATAAAGTCAATTAATTATTCAGACAAATAGAAATAAAATATAAAATTAAGACAAGATTACATTTTATATATGATGTGAAAACATATAATTCTACTAGTTACATACTTGTGTGCCTTAGATGAGAATAGTTGGTAACATATATTTTCACTAAAGCATAACTTTTACAAATACTGTAATTCAAATTTTAAATAAATACAAGTAGCAAGATGAAAGTTTAACATGTATACACATTTTACATAATCAAATATGTTATTGGAATTGAAATTTACCATCACAAATGCATACTGGAATTGAAATTTTAAATAATTCGAGCAGCCAATAAAACTGTTGGAATTGAAATTTACCATTACAAATAGATTAACTAGCTAAACCAAGTTTTAAATTACTAAACATCTTTTTCGTCAATACAAATTTATCAGTTTTTGCTAATAATCATTGTTTGTTTCCCCTTAAGACGTAGAAATTTTTTGATTAGATAGATTAAAAAGTTAGGTTAAGTTTGCTTGCTCAATTTACTCTTTTTCATGTGCAGGAAAAGTTACAAGCTGCAATTAAGGATTCTGTGTTTGAAAATGAGGCATTTCAGAAAGTATTTGGAAAAGAACAACATGGATATGTTCTTAGTATGGGACTTGGAGTTACGCCATCTCATATTAATAGATCTACAAGATCGACATCTTCTTCTGCAGAAAATGAAAAAATAAAGGAAATGCAGCAAGAAATTATTGCACTTAAAGAAAAAAAAATTCAAAAATTGATGAATTGATGGAGGCAATCACATTCTTAAAGCAAAGAGACAATGCTATGAAAGAAGAAATTGAAGTCTTAATGCAAATGCAAAATTCTAGTGGAAGACAGGTAAATTATTTTGATGAATTTAAAGTTAAAGCTTCAGAGTATTATTTTAATACAATTTTTTTTCAGGGATTGGAATCACCTACTGATGCTAGACGTTCATCTGAGTCTAGCTACCGAATTCCATAATGACATACTTTCTAGATTATGAACCTTCTTATTCATTTTTGGCACAATGATACATGACATGATTATGGAACTTTCATTTTATATGATTATGAAACTCACGTTTTTTCGATATTATAATGTTTATTTGATATTAAGTTTTGGAATTAATTTTACTATGCTAAAAAGCGATAGAAATTTTTTTAAAAAAAAACTATAAATAAAAATATTATTGTATAAATAATTTAAAGAAAAAATAATATAACTATTTTAGTAGATAATAATTTAAATAAAAGAATATATTATAAAACAATATAATACAATATATAAAAATTAATAATAAACCGTCAAGATATCACATTCACGACAGTTTTAAACTGTCGCAATCAACAATGGTAACAAAAATCAAAAGGATATTCACGACAGTATTTAACTGTTGTCATTTCCAATTTATGTCAGTTCCAACCAGTCGTGAAATAGAGTTCACGACAGTTTTAAACCGTCACAATCAACAATGAAAATAAAAATCAAAAGGCTAGTAACGACGGTCTTTAACCGTCGCTATCTCCAGTTTAGGTCAGTTCAAGCCCATCGTGAAATATAACGACGGTTGTGTGTGACGGTTTTTCAACCGTCGCTAAACAGCCTTGGGACACACGTTTCTGCGACGGTACTACAACCGTCGTAGAATGTAATTGGTGGTGGTTTTAACCGTCGTAACCTACCAAAATAATCGTCGCAATCCATCGTTTTTCTTGTAGTGATTTGTCCAACCTTTTCTTAACTTGGTTTATGTTTCATTTCATTTCTTTCTAGCATTTGCATTGCATAACATTTAGCATTGAACAGGGGATCAAGATATTATGCATAACAAGAGGAGTCTACTCAGAGGGTTGAGCCTAAGCAAGGGGTGTTACTCAAGTTTGAATGATCATCAAGTCATCTGGAAGTGGGCATTGGTCTTGTGAAAGAAAGGATGGATGTGTGTGGGTCAGCTCCTAACTTGGAGGCCAATTGAAGATCATCATAGGATTGTGAATTCATGATTATGGATATAAGATGTTGAGAGAGCTCATTGAGTGCCTTGAGGGTCATTGTGGAGCTCATCCAGGTGTTTGTGCTAAGTGTGAAAGGTTACAGTTGAAGGTGTTGCAATTAGGGTTTTCATCTGGTTGATTCTCAGTCAACTGTGAAATTGAAGGAGATTAAAACTCAATTCAAAGTCTCTATGATCATGGGATGTTGTGTTAAGACATATGAGATATCATTTCAAGTTCAATTCATCAAGGATCAAGAGGAGAAGAAGTTACTAAATTAGGGTTCTCATGGTAAAATCCCCTATTTAGTACCCAACTTCAAGACCACCTATCTCAAGATGCAAGTTTCATCTCAACTTTTTATCAACATGGAACTTGTAGAGAATGTTCTTAGCTTTATTTTGAGTACTAGAAGTCCTTGATTGGAT